TCTCCCAGAATCGCCACTCCATATGTTTTTTACAATCCTAGCTAATTAGACCTTAACTAGATAGGATTGTAAAAAAAATATGGAGTGGTGATTCTGGGAGAAGCTGGGGAGGGGGGCGATTCTGGGAGAATCGCCGAAAAGAACTGGCCCTTATGGGCTTGTAGCTTCAGAAAACATGTTACTCTTGAGAAGTATTTTAAATCTTTTTCACAAGTCTTGAGCAATCCTCTGTGTTGTATTCAGAACTAGGTGCCTCATTTTCATTGCAACTCTTTGAAAGAAACAAAGTGAATGGTGATTTCGATTTAACAGAACAGTGCTGACAGAGAACGGCTTGATTATACTTAGAATGAGAAAGCATGAATTATTGTAACTTCACTTGGCAGAAATCTTATTATATCTGTGTGTGCAGACTGCTCAAGAAGCTATGACACCTATCGAATCAACTTTCTCACTAGACGTGGACTCCAAATTGGATTGGTAAAAATAACAGTCCCACTTAGTACACCAGAACTTTTGCTCATTTTATCAGTTATTGTTCATGCTATATTTTTATTATATTCCATTTTGTTATTCTTTGCTTTCCTTGTACTTTCTTGTTTTTGTTGTCCTTTTTGTGGAGTTTTGCCATTGTGTATATAATCTTGGTTTTGGTGATCGGGTGCTGCCATGTGTTGATGATGTGCACACCAACTCCAATGAACAAAGTTAGTATGCCACACATTAGATCCAGATTCACTTAGTGCTCATTTGCTTCACCTGAAAGGTTGCAATAAGCAGTTTACAATATCTGGTTGTCATTCTGTACTTCCCCTCCTAGTCATAAGGTTCAAGTCCATCCTATAACTCCTGATTCTTCTATCTATTTGTGGGCCTGAAGTTAGATGACACAATCTTTTGTATTCTGCATAACACGTGTAATTTAGGCTTCATGATGATGCAACTCTGCGCCTTCATAATGATAGTTCACTTAGGAACAACAAATTTTGTTTAATCATTAATGAAAATAGTGATATGTCCAGAACACTATGTTATGGAATTTTTTCCAGACATACTTATTTTACTTGCAGCAGTTTTTGTAAGGCACATTGCCAATCTTCTTTACTTGCATTTGCAGGGAAGCAATTGGTAAAATTCTTGCCCGGGGCCACAGCCGTGTGCCCGTGTACTCAGGAAACCCTAGAAATGTTATTGGCCTCCTGTTGGTAAGTGCCAATTATGCCATGAAGTATTAGAGTGATTTGTCGTGTATGTTCTTCACTAACTCAACCATTTTGAATTTAACTAGGTGAAAAGTCTTCTGACAGTTCGTGCTGAAACAGAGACACCAGTTAGTGCGGTTTCCATTCGAAGGATTCCGAGGTATACACCTTTTGTATTATATACTTCAGATTTTTTTGGTTTCTGTGTGTGATACAATTGGTCTAGCAGTTGAAGTACAATTGTTCCAGCAGTTTAACTATCTCCTTTGGTGTACGATACCTCTAAGATAATCTGAGAAATCATTGATCAATATTTACCTTTTCAGGGTTCCGGCGGACATGCCTTTGTATGACATATTGAACGAGTTTCAGAAAGGGAGTAGCCATATGGCTGCTGTTGTGAAGGCTAGACCAAAGAATCCTCCAGCCGACACAACTGAACCAAACATGGAAGCAGCTGGGGCAACACAGCTGGCTGCACCCTTACTATCCAATGCTGAAGAAAGGGCGGAAAGTGTGGTTGTCGACATTGAAGCACCGCATAGCAGGCAGACTAATGGAAACAAACACCACTCTGTGCAGCAAAACGATAAGCCATCGAATGGAGTGGGTCGTTCATCAGAGGACATAGAGGAAGGCGAGGTCATTGGTATCATCACACTTGAAGATGTATTTGAAGAACTCTTGCAGGTAAGCTGTAAGCTGGCTAATTTGTTCTTTGGAATGTATCATTGTTTTGTTTTTCTGCTGTATCATGGACGATCGAATATGTGGTTTATTAGTACAAAAAACACAATCTGAATCCAGTATATTGAACGTATGCACCCGAACATTTCATTGTTTTACTCTTGCGTTTTCTGTTGTAGATGTTGTACTGGAAAGCAGGGAGATATAGTATCATGTGACAGTTTTGGTAAATTGTGAGATGATCTAGGAACCATGTCTATCATAATTAATTGATTTTGTAGTCAACACTTGAAGTGCACTTTCATTTTGGCTTGCAACAACCAATCTATGGTATAGCTCTTGTCATTTTTCCTCAGGAAAATGGATACTATTTTCAAGATAAGTTACATGATTCAGTTTAATCATCTAAAATATTTGATGATTTTGGGAATCTCTTTCAAGTTATCACGGCTTCTGTTTATGTACCTTCTGAACTATTGTATTCGTTGTGTATAGCCAAACACTGACAATCATTTGTATTGGTCCTAGATAATTTATACTGAAACATGGGGATTGGGCAACACAAAGTGTTCCACCTATTGGCAAACAGAGTTTAAGAGTGTCTGAAAGGAAACATAGAGCATGGATATTTACCTGTATGGTTTGGATCAGGAAAAGACAAAACCAAACAGATTTGTTACCTCATCTTCTTGACTCAATATTACGAGTAAAGTCTTTTCGTGACAAGCGGGAAAACCCCGGCCCTCTGCATCACGATGATGCACACATCCCTATTATTATGAGTTACTACCCCTAGATGATTATAAAGTACAACAGCACCCACACACCCCACTGTTTCAGCTAGAATAAGCACGACCGACACTCAACCATGACCAAACTAAGACTCCCATGGTCAGTCGGGCCAATTCATTTGCCCCGGCTCAAGGGAAAAACCCTCTAGAGGATTATGTTGTCTGTAGACACTAGACAGTTCTGTCATGCATATACTCTGCCTCTTGACCATCTACTTATACGCAGATTGCTTGGTCTGATGAATTGAATCTTATCAAATTTCTGGAGGTTGCTTCATTCGCTATTTAGCAAAAAAAAAATCCTAGCCTTTGTTATTTGAAATCTATCCTAAGACGATAATCATCCCAATTGGAGGCATTTATGCAGTTCGTAATTTTGATTCAAAATCTTTTGAATCTCTCACCGTTTTGAGTTTTCTGATTTTGCAGGAAGAGATAGTGGATGAAACCGACGAATATGTTGATGTTCATAAAAGGTATTGTCTCATCTTTAGAGGAACTGCTTGCTACAAGCTGCATTCTTCAACTTCTGCTGAGTATATTATATGCACAAAAATGAATTATATTCCTTACAGGATCCGGGTAGCTGCTGCTGCTGCCGCGTCATCAGTTGCAAGGGCTCCATCAGTTAGAAGATTAACTGCTCAAAAGGCTTCCGTAAGTGCCATTTTTTACTTACCATGTGTGGAAGTGTTGATGGGGGTCCTCTCCTCCCTTCTCAATCTACTCTCATTTAGATATTAGTACATGTGCCTTTAAACAAATCCTGATACTAGTACATGGTAAAATATTATTACGTGTAGGAAACTGGTTGAAATATGATTATATGTGCATTTTAACAACAGAAGTACTAAAACGGTATACTTATGAAATAAGAGATGACTATAATCTTGGTCTTCTTGTGCAGTCTTTGATCAATTTTCTTTTGTACAATATGCACCATCCCCATTCTAAACAGCCTCGGAATTGGTCAAGGGGCTAAAGCAGACAGTTTTGGTGTTTAAGGTCTGTTTCAGACGGTTTTTAAGTTTAGGACCAAAGGTGGAGTCGAGGCAAAGTTCAATGCCCAAAGTGGATCCTTTGTCTTTTCGTTGTTTTCACTTTCGAGTTCAGTTTCCTATAGGCTTCTAGCTAGCATCTGAGTTGTGGCGATTCTTTAGGCCCTGTTCGTTTAATCCCCTCGCCACAGGGATTGAATGGGGATTGGGGAGTTTTGAGGGGTTTTTTGACTTGCAAGGGATTTAATCCCCTTCAATCCCTTTCAAACCTCTCCAAACCCTGCCAAACCGAACAAGGCCTTAGGAGTCTACCTCTACAAAATACTGCATCTTCTAAAAGTAAATTATAGCATACAAAGTTAAATTTGATATATAAATTTCTGTTGGCAGTGTTAATCTTCTTCCATTCTTTACCCATATGCTCGTTGGGCATTCTTTTCCTGGTTACACTGAATGTTTGGTGAAAGTTATTTCATAAGCTTTTGTTATATATGAACTGTTAAGTTGGAATTGCCAAATTTCTGTAGAAGTCAGTCTTACTCGAACTTATATTGTTGCACATAAAACACATTCTTTGCTAAATAGACTGCAATTTAGTCTTATCTTTATAAAAAATATATAACCGTTAGTCTTGCTTCTATGATAATTGCTATTTTTTTTGAACCTTCAAAGACAGTAGGGAAGGTTCCTACTGACATGTATTAACTCATGAATCACAATCCACAATTACATGATGGTGTCTCACCCTATTCCTTCTCTCGATAACTATTCCGATGGTCCATCTTATGCGAAGGTCAAAAGATGTTAAATTCGCTTTCATTGCAGGGAGCGCAGAGCCGGCAAGGGCAGGCTGGACAGCCTGCTGGAATTTTGAAAAAGCCTGCTACTGAAGGTGATTCAAACCCATCAAAACAGGTGAACCTTGTCGAACCTCTGCTGGAAAATAGGAGGTAATTGTAGATGTCTCGCATAAATAGAGCGACGGGACGCATGGAAGCATGTTGTGATGTTGCTATATCCAGTGAGAGTAAATACGAGTTTGCTCGCTGTAAATTTCCACAGTAGCAATTTGAACCTTGTCATGAATGTCACTATGTCAGCGTTGGGATTCATCACTGGGACGGTAGCAACTACTGACATTTGGGAATCATAGACTTGGAACTAGTTCAAATGATAAATTAGATGTGTCCGCAAACTTTCTGAATGTCAAGCACGTGGAATATTATAAGGTGGAATGCCTACACGGTGTGCCTGACTTCAAATCGACTATTGGCGTAGTCAACAAAATCCCGGCTCATGTACGAGCATTCGACAACATTTTGTTAGCATCAGTTTTTTTTTTAAATGGAGTATATGTTTCTCTTTCAAGTGAGCTACTGTTGAATTTTATTTTGGCACTGGAGAGAATATTGCGTGCGATTTTCGTGCTTGTTGGAAAATACGAGCGGTCCGAGTGGAAGTGAAGTCCAGACCGACATGGCCTTGCGTATGCCAAGGCTTCCACCACCCCTTTCCGGATAAAACAACGTTTGTCTTCCTACGCTGCGTAGGTTACGTGTGCTCTACTCTTCCTATATCTCGATCCTTCCTTCCACTCTGGTCTCTTTCTAAGAAAAGAATGAACTTGGCTGCCAAGATACCTGCACAACTAAAGCGCGTCGGGTTTCCATCCGACTCAGTTCCGGGCCTCGCCTTACATATACGCTACCATAATCCACGAAACGGCAGCCGAGCAATCGAGCACAAGGATGCGCTGACGAACCCGGCCGATCGACCCCCCGACCAGCGGCGCCCCCGACGCGCGCGCCTCCGTACGTGGCAGAGATGACGATGTCCGGGCGGTACGTGGCGGCCACGGGCGCCCTCATGGCGTGCGGCCACTGCGGCGGCCTCCGACGCGTCAGGATGGAGGGCGAGTTCGTCTCCTGCGACTCGTGCGGCAAGGTCCTGCAGCAGCGGGGCCGGAAGCAGCGCGCCGTGGAGGTGGAGGCTCGGCGGCGGCGGCGCTGGTTGGGGGGCAGGAAGAGACGGGACGGCCGCGCGGCGGCCGGTGGCGGAGGCATGGTCGTCGGACGGGAGGCATCTGATGCCGAGTCCGACACTGGTTGTGTTTGTTTCGTGGAATCGTCGTCGTAGTGATTGCGTCCTCCTCAACTGATGTTTTAGAGCAGTTTGTGGATTCTGGGCTAGACAGCGTCACTGAACAAGATATCGATGATAATGCTGGGAAAGTTGCAATTTATAGCCTGTTTGGCTGAATTTAATCCTTGGAGGACAGCCAGACAGGTGGGAGTAGATTAGTGTGTGAGTTTTGGTGGGTGCACTGCCTACCTAACCTTTCACTTGTTATAGGCAGGGGCCTCTTGTAAACATCTTTGCTATATTATTTTTTTGACAAAAATGATGTCTTTGTTATCTATGGTCATTAGGACATCTCCAACGGCAACTAGCAAATTTTCTCCCACATTCGTCCGTGGTCAGGGGGACCAGTCCACGAACACGAATGCGGGAGGAGGACATCCAGCGCTAGCCTCATACATTTTAAACTTTTTTTATCAAACCGGATGAAATTCATGCAAACATGCCCGGATTTCATACAAACATGACGGATTTCATACAAATACAGCGGATTTCATTACATTTAGAAAAAAAAGATCCACCCCTAAACCTATCCTACGGCGTTGGCGCCCGATGTCCAAGTCCGTGTCCTCCTTCATCCGTCGTCTCTATGAGCACGGACAATAAGACCGATGAAGTGAAGTGCGGTCTTCGGCGAGGAAGAGTAGAACATGGGAGACAGACCTACCCATATGGGACACAAGGCACTGCCGCCTCCCGTTGCCTACTCATCCTTGGAGGAGTTTGCGACCTGTCCGTCGCCAATGGACATGAGTTATATATAGTGAAGTGGAGTTAGCATTATAAGATGAGACACCCAAACATTTTTACAAGCGATGGAAATGCAGCCAAGGTTTACTGTAGTTGAACGAAACCATCATCGATGGAAGAACGGCTAAAAATGATGATAAGAGCATAGAGATAATGCAACGGTGGAGTCGAGGTAGAGTTGAGAAGCTGATAAAAGAGAATACACAAATCTCCTTCATAAATAAAATAAATTCATACTTATACGTCAAGTAGTAATGGCGGCAATGGTAAAAGATGCACGCACTAACCGTTATGGTCTGCTAGACTGTTACTCCTTCTGTCTTATAATGTAAAATGTTTTTTGACACTACATTAATGTAAAAAAAGTCCTATATTATGAGACAGAGGGAGTAGTACTTAACTATCTGCTAGACTGTCAGTACTTAACAACTTATGCCTACTGAAGTAGCAGCAACATGGGAGATTTGTTTAGAGCCATCTCGGCATCGCCGCCCTTGCCTTACTGAACTTAGCAGCGGGCTTCTCTTCTCCTTGGTTTACTTCGTGGTTTTGCTGAGTGATATTGGCCAAGTGCTTGCGAGATGTGCTCTGTTGGTGATCACCATTATTATTATTATTATTATTATTATGTCTGTGTATAATATACTAAATTTAGGTGTGCAATTTGTATTTTGAGCTTGCAGAGCACCAACGGTCTGTCTAATTCTGCTGAACTCGAAACTTGTGTGAGATGTGAGGAATGGCCATAATCTCATTCATCATTTTTTTATTATCTACTTCCCTGCACCGAATTATATACCCGCTTGAGCTTCTAAGTATTATAGAGAAAGTTACCCTACGTCTGTCACCTGAATGAATTCACGTCAAAAAATTAAATTATCGATGCAACTCTGTGTTTAGATAGGTAGAATCTGCTGTTGCTCTCCAGTTGCAACGGACAGGCACATTTACTAAAGAAGCTATTGCTTCTTGTGGTACGTTGCGGAAACTGCCCTCGAAATTGCAAAATATTACTTAAATGCTATTAAGTGATAAAAAAAGTTTCACACAGGGGAATCCCTCGTCTGAGCCTACACATGCATTAGGGGCCTCCTATACCGCGCTCTGCGTGCTGGCCTGTTTCTAAAATTTCCTTTTTCCTTTTTTATTTTTCTTTTCCGTTTAGTTTTTCCCACTTTAAATAATGAGACTTTTGAAATAGAATGTTTAATAATTCATAAAATGTTTGCGATTTTATAAAAAAAAATTGCATACTAAAAATGGTTGAAAATTTTAAAACAAATGTTTGGGAAATTGAAAAATGTTAATGAAATTGAAAAAATTCACCAATTCAAAAAAATCATGAATGGAAAAATATCCTAAAAATTCAAATTGTCATGACTTACAAAATAGTTTATTCATTCACAAAATGTTTGATGATTCAAAAAATGATCATGCATTTCAAAAAATGTTCGTGAATTTTAAAAATGGTTCTATCAATTTTCAAAACAATGTTCGTCTATTCTAGAAATGTTCGCCGATTCAAGAAAATTGTTAAAAACAATGCTCATTTTTTTAAATGTTTGTGAGTAGTATAAAATGTTCATGAATTCAGAAAATGTTCTTGATTTTAGAAAATATTTGAATATTTGTTAAAGTGTTCATGAATTTAAAAAATGTTCATGATTTCAAATATGTTCGCTAGTTAAAAAAAATTATTCACAAGTTCACAAAATTGAGAGTGATAGTGTATCTCGGTGATGCAACAAAATGTGATCATGGCCATTGGAGGTTATGATTTTTTTTCTTCCGTTGCAACGCACGGGCCCTTTTGCTAGTATTACCATCTTAATATCGAAAACTATTGCATGAATCAAACATATCATATTCAGCGATCTATATGAAAGTTTTTATTATATCCCCCTTGAATACCTATCATTTATGGACTAATCTTATAAACCGTGCAAATTGCCATTACTATTTTATACCCTCAAGATTTAAGTGGAGCATGAGAGTGCAACTATTTCTATAAAATATAACCACCGCCGTGCTCTAAAATATATAAGTGAAGCACTAGAGCAACTGACTAGCTTAAAAGATATAAGTGAAGCACATAGAGTATTCTGAAAATCACGAATAAATGTGTGTCCCTCTCAAAAGGTGTGTCCAGCAAACAATGGTTGTGGAAAACTAAAAGCAAACAAAGCAAAAAAACTACTATAGTGCAAGACGCTCCAAGTAAAACTCATATCATGTGTTGAATAAAAATGTAGTTCCCAGTAACATACCGATAGATTGTAGATGAAAGAGGGAACGCCATCCGGGGCATCCCCAAGCTTAAACGCTTGAGTCCTCCTTGAATATTATTTTAGGGTGCCTTGACCATCCCCAAGCTTAGGGTCTAGCCACTCCTTATTCCTTCATCCATCGTGATCTCACCCAAAACTTGAAAACTTCAGCACAAAAACTCAACAGAAATCTCATGAGATCCGTTAGTATAATAGGCAAATCATAAATTTTAGTTACTGTTATCAACCCATTCATATTTTAATCTTGGATAATACCTATTATATTCCAACTTATCCATGACTTATACCCCCCGATATAATCCATAGCATCATCAAAACAAGTGAACTGCGCAATAAAAATGGCAACTGTCTAAAACAGAACAGTCTATATATAATGATCTAAACAAATACCATACTTCTAGAACTCTAACAATTCTGAAAAATTAGGACAGCGTGGGAAATTTGAATATCAATCATGTGTTATGTTTCAGTGAATTTTAATACTTCCTGGACTGAGAGCAAAAGTTCCTATTTTTTCCACAGAATCAGTCAACTATCATCCAAATCATCCCAAAGACTTTACCTGGCACAAACACTAATTAAAACATAAAAACACAATCATAATAGTAGCCATAATTGTGTTAATGCACCAAAATGGAAAGTAAGAGAATTTTTAAGATAACTATTGTGTTGCCTCCCAACAAGTGCTATTATTTTATGCCTCTAGCTAGGCGTAAGGCATTGTTTCAAGTATCATCATCTTCGGATTCAACTCCTCAATTATGCATCCACTCTTCC